ACATCTTGTTCTCAAAGGTGCTGTCTTCAGCCAAGGTTGCGAATATCCACAGAATAAGGAAAGTGGTTGGTGTTGGCCCCTAAGGGCTTCTTGTATTACTCCACATCTTGACTCCATGGAGCGTCTGAAAGGCTGATGCCCATCTGCTGTAATATTCCTTGTTATAGGACAATGCCGGGTGAAGTTGTTCCTGCTCGGCTGCTGCTTACTTTCATGCTTGTTCTTGCTGATGTATGCCCACACAGCTGCTCATATCCTTGTGTTTCAAACCCCATCCTGGAACTAATCCAGCTTAAAGAAGGGGGGAAAGGACCACTTGTTGTTGTTTCAGAGGTGGGGGTCAGGGGGCTTGCTTGGTTTGTAAACTGGATCGGTTAACTGATAGATTTCCAAGAACAGCCTCACAAACAGCTGGGAGAGCTGAGCACAGTGGCACAGGGCAGGACCATAGGGGCAGATGGGGATGAGAGGAATTTCTGTAACCATCATTGTCTGTGAGCTTCTTGTACTACAGCTATAGAAATTACAGCCTGACGGTCCAACTTGGTAATCAGCAGGACAAGGATAATGATGAGAGTGAGGGAATGATAGCGTGGGGTAAGGAATGGGAACACAAATAGCCCTTACAGTGGCAGGGGAGGGACAGGGAGGCATGCAGAGTGAAGGAGAAGAGAGTAAATGGAAGGTTTAGGGGGAGCCTTCACAAGCTTGGTGCCTGCTTCTGCTGCTGTGAAGCAGCACATCACTGCCTGCAGAAAATCCCTGGGTAGTCCTTTGGAAGTCTTTTTGGAAGGCAGAAGCAAGTGGTGCTCAGGTACTACCAAAACCCAGACCTAGAACAGATACCCTCAGCAGAGCTCATCACTTTGTTCCTGTGCCATCTGATTAACGATGCAGACTTCCATCACTAGACCATGTTCCCTATATCAGTAGGCTCCAGATAAACTTCCAATGTTGTTTCCACAGTGTTTTAGCACTTGTCAGAAAGGAGATGCCACGGTAGCCCTTGCTGGTGTATTTGTATTTGAGGTGTTCGGTGGGTTTTGATCAACCATTGGGTAGCTGGGTTCTGTCTTTCTGGAGACGCCAGGGCGTTGTTCAGGGTAGTTCTTCATTTCCTCTAACAGTCTCCCTGTACAGTCACAAGGACCTTTTCCCTTCTTGCTCTTTTTCAGCATGGACAGGAGGTTTGGGTTGCAGTGACAGCATGGTGCTGACAGTACTCAGCTCTTAGGTGAGGGCAAGCAAGCTCAACACATGGGGCCACAAGGGCTACATCATTGGGACCTTGCAAGATACTTAGCTGTACCTCGATTCCCTGGTCACAGGGAAGAGGATTTCCCTCCCTCACCCATCATTTTGGCAGCAAAGAGATTTTGAGCATCCCTTTCTGATGCAGCCCTTGCCTCAGTAATCTGTTCCTTAGTCACCTTCATACATGGGCTCATGTTCAAAAGGTCCTGCAAGGCTAGGTGCAGCTGCTCGCTTGTGTAGCTGCTCCTCATAGGGGGAATTACATCCACAGGTTTTCCTGCTGCACCTCTCTGTGTGTTTCTTTCTGGTTGCTGGCTGGTGCCTTGCTGCTTCACCTGTGAAGCCCTGCTTGAGCTGGGATCCCAGCTGACTCTTCCCGTGCTCAGTCTGCGTACTGGGGATGTTTGTGAAGGCTTGTAGGGACAGAAGAAGAGACACAGTAGGGTGTCTTTCTGGTGGAATTTTCTTTCTCCTTGGTCTGGTAGAGCCCATGTTAATTGACTTTCAGAGCATGTTGCGAGCATATTACACACAACCATATTTAAGGGGGAATACATGGCTTTTTTTGCTCTCTTGGGAGTTGTTCTGGATTCTCTTAATTTGATACTTACTGATATACACTTAAAAGCTCATGTTCTTTATTATAGGAGATACTTGAAGCTTTCTCAGGCATCCCAACACTTCTTAATGTAAGGCCCTTTTGCAGCATCTTGCAGATTGGACAAACTTATCTCTCATGCTGAATTTTTCTATCCTGATTGTTTCAGTCTGAAAGAAAATACCTGGCAAAACAGCGTAGTAGTTCTTAAGTGGTTAGAAGAAAAAAAGATGTTGTTTTTTGCATTGAAAATTTCTTCACACCTTTTCTTTGAAATTTAGCAGATGGGGTTTTGTCAGAAACGTGCTTTTTGCCATCCTGGTAAAAATCTTCCCAAATTTGGCTGAGCATATATGCCTTTGGGAAAAAAAAAGTCACTCTTCCCAAATAACAAAGAACTCTTAACATTTTCCTGGTCCCATCCTCTCCAAGAGTCTGTTGGCACTGGGTAGAGACAAGCTTTCTTCCCTTTACTCCTGTTCTCAGCCCACACCAGCACAGACCACTGAGGAGAGTCTCACTCACCCCCCAAGTCAGAGCACACTTGGGACAAAAGGAGCTTCTGGATAATTTAATCGCTAAAAAAATTAAGTCTTTGCAGAAGTTAGAGGTGCTGTCATTTTTCGAGATGTTTCCGTTGTTGTGGCAGAGGTGGCCTTAACTCAAAGTCTGTCTCCTGCAAGCTTTGAAGTCTCAGCCCAACCAAAGGCAGCCAGAATTTTGAACTTGGGCAAAATAGTGTATTTTTCATTAGCCAGATATTTGGAAATGGGAGAAATATTTTGGTAGAAACTTTCTCTGTGACTTTTGCACTGGAAAAATGCAAAAGGGCCCAGGACTGGAAAATTTCATCCCACATGTTAAAGCTTGAGAGAGAGATAAAACAACTGAAAACAGAGTCTCAGAGAAGAATCGGGCAATCTTAGTAATAGGTAGTAATACCAGCCTCATCTGTAAAATGTATTGTTGGAAAAAATGTAGTGGGTAGATTGTGTAAGAGTTAGCCCAAGGCTGTGTTAATGAAGAGTAAAGACTATTGTAATATATTTTACGCTGGGACTTAATTGAAGTTGAATGAACAGCTTCAGTTCTCTCACTTCCTAATTTCTGATGCCTGAGAGCTCTTCCTGCAGCAAGACAATTAATTCATTGCCACTGTGTGAATGATTTTGTTTTCAAAGGGGAGGTTAAGGAAGAGGAAGAAACAGGAGCTCCTAGGCTTCAGGAGCATCACGTGGTGGAAGAGCGAGGGACTTCACAGAAATGACAGTTCTGCAGAGGAAAACCTTTTTGCCCCCTTCCCCGTGCCTCCTGGTAGCCCATAGGAAACAGCAGAGAGCTGGGGGGGA